TCCCTGGGGGATGGACAACAGAAAAGTGGGTGAAGGGAAACATCGGACAGGGCAAGATATGATAAAATAATAATTTATAAATTATCAAGGGGGGAGAGGGGGGAGCAGGGAGGGAGGGGAAAAATGAGCTGATGCCAGGAGCTTAGGTGGAGAGCAAATGTTTTGAGGATGATGAGAGCAATGAATGTACAACGGTGCTTTACACAATTGATGTATGTATGGATTGTGATAGGAGTTGTATGAGGCCCTAGTAAAACGATTTTTAAAAAAGGGTACAATAGCAACATGAAGCAAACCACTGCTGGTGCCACCAACATCTGGACGGGACACAAAACGTGGGGGAGATGCAGTGGAGTACCACGGGGCGCTAAGAGGTGATGACGGTCAGTCTGGAGGACTGGAAAGGACAGATGTGGTCTGGAAATCTCGTGTGCAGAAAGCGCAGGCTTTGTTGGTAACAAGGGTACAACACTGCCTGACGGGACCAAACTGTGGAAAGTTACACCATCTGTAAGAGCTCCCAATAAAATGGTTATTAAAAAAAAAAAGAACACCTCCCCCTCCAGGGGGAAGAGAGAAAGTGGTCGGTGTGAGATATGAAAATGATATTAATTTACAATCTATCGAGGGGCCACGGGGGTGGAGGGGAGAGGAGCTGATACCAAGGGCTCAATAGAAAGTAAATGTCTAGAAAAGAATGAAGGCAACATATGTACAAATATGCCTGATACAATTGATGTATGGATTGTAATAAGAATTGTAAGAGCCCTCAATAAAATGACCCACCCAAAAAAGTTTATCTGGAGAAAGCTGCATTTGTTAATGGATGCCCGCGAGGGGGGGTCACCTACTAGAAGGCCAACATCCGGTAAAGAACAGCAACCCCCAGCCCAGGAGGGAGCCGTCAGCAAGACCACACCAAGGTAGAGAGGCTCAAAAGAATGCGGACTGCAGCAGGAAGTGCTGCAGGACCTCAGAGGGGCAGTGAGGAAAGGCTGCCCTGTGGCTCAGACACCAGGGCAGCTGTGAGGAGGGCACACAGGGTCTGCCGTGTGGGACACAGGGTCCTTGGAGCCAGGAGCTGCTCCAAGGCACCCGGACCTCACTGACATGATGCGCAAGTGCTTCACGCTCTGGGGCAGGGCAGGTTGCATGGTCAGCAGTCCAAGCCCACCAGCTGTCCCTCTGCTCCCAGTACGGTTCAGTCTGGGAAACCCGAAGGGCCGGCACTGCACGGTCCCTACCGAGTCAGAATGGAGTGAGTGTCGGGGTTATTCAAACCTTGGGTGGGGCACAAGCACCCACCCAATCATTCTGTGGGAGTTACAAAGATCTCAAAAAGATCGCGTGAAAGTGACAATTTCCCACCAGGGTGTTATTAAGGAACCTGTGCCTCAACAGAAAAATCGGGCAGACCTGGATTCCAACCCCAGCTCAGCTAGCAGAGTTGTGTGAATTCAGACTAGTCCCCTAGCCTGTCTGAGTCTGTTTCAACCTCTCTACGGCAGAGATCTCCAACGTGCCCCATCACAGGCTGCACAGCATCTGGGGGGAGGGCCAGCAGAGTGACTGAGGAATGAAGTCTAGATCCAAAGAGCCTAGGTTCAAATCCTGCCTTTGCCACTCGCTCCAAAACCCACTCACCGAGTCAATTCCAATCCATAGCAACCCAGTGCAGTTGTTTCTGAGACTGTTAAGTGTCCACGGAGCAGACAGCCTCATCTCTCCCCTGCAGAACCACCAGTGGGTTTGAACCACTGCCTTGGCAAAGCCTCTCCCTCAGGAGCCCGACACATGGCCCACAGTGCCACTAGACTCAAACCAAACACATGCCAACTCACAGCAACCCTGTGGGACACCCTAGAAGTGGCTCAGTGGGTTTCCAAGGCTGTAAATCTTTAGAGCAGCAGTTCTCAACCTTCCTAATGCCGCAACCCTTTCATATGGTTCCTCATGTTGTGGTGACCCTCCAACCATAACATTATTTTCGTTGCTACTTCATCACTATAATTTTCCTACTGTTATGAATTGGGCAACCTCTGTGAGGGGTCGTTCAACCCCCAAAGGGGTCGTCACCCACAGATTGAGAGCCGCTGCTTTAGAGGAACAGAAAGCCTCCTCGTTCTCCCATGGAGCCGCTGGTGGTCTCACTGCTGACTCTGTGTAGCCTACTGTATGCCACCATCACACATTAGCTAGGTTCCATTCCAGAAAAGTTGCTTTGGCTCAGGGCCGTCACCTCTTCAACTATGAAGTGAGGGCAATAACTACAAGACCTATTTTATTTTTTTATCATTTTATTGGGGGCTCATACAACTCTTACCACACTCCATCCATCCATCCATCCATCCATCCATCCATCCATCCATCCATCCATTGTGTCAAGCACATTTGTACATTTGTT